ACTAGCAAGAAGTTTAAGGATCTGGCATGCCTGAGCTTCATCAATATCTGAGAACACTATGAATAAAACACAGTTTCTGGAGCTTTATAAGCTTCAGATTGTTTCATCGATTTCAAGGGCAGAAGAGATTAGTAGGATATCTAGTCTGGGCTACTACCAACACACTAGCACTCCTGCTCTTTTTGCTGGTTTACCATCTTCCTAAACTCAGAGTAATATTAACATCCTGCTTACTTTATACTTTTCCAAAATAAAGGTAAAAGAATGCAGATTCTGAGAGAAAAAAATAACTCACATTCTCTTCCATGTTCTTGACACTCTCGGATTTCCACCTATCCAAAAAAATCCTTACCTCCTTCTCAAGTAAGGTGCCACCTGAATTTAACCAACATTTTTGTCCCTTTTTGTCACAGTGCATTTTTTGGAAAAGAATGGAAAGTTTCTCACTAATATTATTGGAACCAGATTTTGTTTGGGAACATTTTGTGAATAGAAGCCCTTAAAAATTTTTCAGTAATGGGAGATTAACAGAAGTCTTACAAAGCTGAAATACATGTTAGAAACCTCTAAACTAAGGCTATAAAAGATTTACATATTTTTTTAGTCAAGTTATAACTACAAATCACACTGGACCAGAAGGTTACAGGAACACCTACAGGTATGAGTAACAACAACAGTCCAGCCTGCATATTGCTGATGGAATAGATGGAACAATGAATTCTGGTTATTTCAAAAACTTTACAGGTGTTGGCTATCTGTTTCTGCAAGGAAAGAAAACTCAAGCCAAACCAGAATCCTCTTCATTGATAGCTAATAATCTCCACAATGACCTGAAGGAAAATGAAATTCCAGTGTTTCATGTGAGTACAGCTTTGTCCTTTCACCTTCCAAAATGTACCCTAGATTGGAAAGAGAAAATAGCCACCAAGTGGATTTTACTAAAAACAAATGCTCAGAAAACTTGTGGGTAGTCTGAGAGGACAGAGATGTGCAGACTCATGCAGATCCCTTGGAGAAGAGGGAGAAATGTCAAAATGTCCCGCTACTACCAGGTATTACTTAAGAGCTAGTTAATTTCCTTTACCAATCTCAGTGAATATTCTGCAAGTATTCAGTGTAATGAATAAAAATATTCACCAGGTTTGTGTGTTATGACACACGCCCCGCCTTTCATATAACACATGCAGTTGCCCTGCTACTCTCACTTCTCCTTTTGGTTGTCCCCCTATAAATTGTTATGTGGAGACCACTGTTGCTGCTATGTCTGTTCACTGACTAGAATAGAGTTGGATCTAATACCCTAGTAGGTTCTCTGGGTAGTGCTGAAGAACAGAGTGTCAGGGCTCAGTTCCTGTCCTCCACCTAATGAAAAGGTAAGACTGTGGAAGGACACAACGTAGGAGGGTACTTAGCAAATTTCACATGGACTGGTTTATCTAGTATGGTTGTAAGTTTTAAAATGAAGGAAAACCAACAAGCCAACAGAACAAGATAAACTTTCATCACCCTTCTGTCCCATTCCTATTGTCCTACATTTTGACTTTGGGGTTCACTGAAATTAGAAGACACACTGAAGGCATTCCAAAGATAATAGGAAAACACTGGAAAGGCAACATGACAAAATTGCAGATGCATCACAAATTATTCCAAACTGGTACAGAAAATTATCATACACAACATTATCTTTAGAGCCCAGTGGCCAGAATGTATTCTAGAAAATTCTGCTGTCTTCTAGAGTGCAAAATTCAAGCCCACTGCAGATGTACTAAGGCCTTTTATTATATCAAGTCAATACTGAAAGAAAGGTTAATAAATTAGCTGCAGAGTGGATTCTGTTCCTCTGGAAATTGAGAGGGATTGCATGCTACCTCCTACCCTGGGAATAGACACAAACCCAAAGCTACTTTAAAAACCCACACATATATTGACAGAGTTAGTAGGAGCATCAAAAGCTCTTTGCAGGTCAGTCCTCCCTCACCCCTTCCTCATGGGGACACCTAAGAAAATACTCAAGAAAAGCGATGGCTATAAGTTCACCTTCTAACCTTTGGCACAGCAGTCAGCCTTAATGGAGTGGACTGTGCAACTATGCCATATGGCACACGAACACACACACCTTCAACAGTACTTGATCCATTAAGACCACAGAATAACTCCTCTTCAGTAAAGCTATGCCATTCTCCTGTCAATAGATTATGGTTCCATCTTTTCAGCATTATTTTCAAGGGAAGAATATCTATAATTCCTTCTAAGGACCCAGAAGCACAGGTTTTCACAAATATAGGCAACACCCATAAACAAAAATATGTGGTTTAAGGTTTCTCATTTGAAACATTATGGTATATATCTCACTTGACTGTCAGATAAACAATAAGAATATGACCCTCTTCCAGAGTACATATAAATAATCAAGTAGGCAGGAGATCAATGGGTATTTCAGTAAAGCTATTGATTTAGTTTTTGCACACAAGCTTGCATGCCATACTTGATATTTAAAACAAATATTTAATAAAACCATGAGTATCTTTAGAACTGAAGTAAATTAGGGATTAATATATGCTGACAAAAAAACATCTACATAGATTGTAACAAAGATCTCCCACGGTCAGAGCTGTCTTCCCAAGCCATGTGGTCATGCCTATACCACTGTCCCTTCACTCTAGAGAATCTCAAACAATAGCTATCTACAGGTTCCAAAAGTATATCTCATCTGTGAGATGCATATAGTTCTAGATGAAGTCAGATGTGAATCCTAGTTTGCAACTGTTACAAGAATAGTCAGGACATGGTCCTGTATCATCCTATACAAATGGCTTCCCCCAGTGATAAATGTACTGCAACTCTGTCCCCAGAAAGGGACAGGGTTAAAGAAACCCTTCCCAACATGACTACTTGAGGCAGCTCCTCCTCATTATGTTCACTGATACAGTTCAGAACTGCCCAGCTACCCCCACGCATTGTATAGGAAGACAAAGTGCTAATCTTAAAAGAGCAAAATCCAGCTATTGCTTGCAAAGTCCTGAGCAACAACAGATTACATCATGAAGTTCAAGTCTCTAGCCTTTATACAGCAGATTATCCATAATTATGGATCAAATCCCTGATTAGGTAAGTGCAAGACATACGATGCAGCCAACATCCTCATATGTCTACCACGCATATGTCAGGTTCACAGGGGAAAACTCATTTCTGTTCTCACTCTACAATGAAATTTATAGATAACATTTAAGCACACAGCTATATCAAACAGTTTAATAATAGCATATAATGAGTGTGTGGATGGTGATATTACTACACAGGCTGTCATTCTGTAATGCCTGTTCTGACTCATCAGGAGGCAGCAGTACAGGGACATTGTCTGGTTTATTCAATTATGTTCCCTCTGTTCAATGACTCTGGTTAGAGGCCTGACAGTCAAAACAATAACTACATGAAATATGCTGCATAATATCCTACAGCAATTAAGCAAGCCCTTAGCTCAAATGCTGTAAGAATATTTTACAGGCATATTGAAGAGTAAGAAATTCTTCATCTCAGCTGTAAGCTTTATCCCATCTTGTAGCACAGCACACCCCTCCACTAAGTGTTGTAGATACAGAAGGGTTAGAGAAGCAGTAAATCATCTTGAATTTAGTGATGAGTCCAGACTGACAATTGCAATGTCCTCAGCTCTGCGTTTACCCTAGGTGCAGGAGCACTGTCATCTAGTTATAACTTATTTTAGAGAGCCACATTTAATTGTAAGAAATTGGTGCTAGATCAGCATCATGCTCACAAAAGGCATGTGAAGCAGCAAGAAGTTAGTCAAGAATTCCATTAATACTTGGTTTAAGAGAGACATAATTGTGCAATGTTCACTTTATTAAAAACTGTTTAAAATATTCACTACCACAAAGTTGCAAGTTAAACATCTCACCTGCCCATGGGAAGGTTGCATGATGACTGGTTATTACCCTTAATCACCAGAAAAATGCCCTAAAGCTATGTGGCACATAGTTAATTAGAATCTCCTAAATCTTATGCAAGAATAAATGTGCTTTGGAATGCTTTCTTGTACACATTTGTTGACCCACAGACAAACAAATACAGCTGATCTCAACTTACCATTTTAACTAGCCCTACCGTGCTTCAGTTTATTCAATTATCATTTAGTGGTTGTTATTAAATTATCTAACCACTAGCTGACTTATGCCTCTGCTAGCTCCTACACATTCTGATCCTATACCTTTCCTCTGTCCATTTTCTTTCACAGTCTACTTCGTGATGGCTCTATGACGCTGTCCAATACATATTGCACAGATTTCAACAAGGAAAAGTGCTCATTCATGCGCTATAAAGTCTAATTGTTTTAACAAGGGAAACTTCAGATAATTTATTTTTTTCCCCATTGAAGAAGGTTACATTGTTCCCCACTCTGCTATATGAGTTTTTGCTGTCAGACACGCACTCCTCCTTCCAGACACAGACAGCACAAAGCCTTGCATAAATTCTTTGTCCTCAGAATTTGCCTGGGAAAGTAGTAACTCCCAGGTGTATATAAAACATGCTAAAACACATATTAAAGACCATTCTCAAGTCCCGCATGCTGCCATGTAGCAAAACCTACATACTCTACCCACACAAGCTAGCCCTAGGCAGCTGCTTCACATTTCTGCTTAACAATGGATTATTTGGGAGACTGTGTGTCCCAGCTGACTAAACAAGGTTTTTCACTCCTGCCTCAGTAATCTGGAACTCCATAGCTCTTCCTGTCAAACTCCAGTCTCATACATGACCATATTAAGATTCGGAGTATTTGAACATCTTCTAACCTCTCAAGCTCTACTACTTGCCTAGCTAGTATATAAGTCTCCCCACAATGTCTCTTGCTTTTGAACCTCCTTAAGGGTGTATGGTTTTGTCTAGAATAGAGCACGATTGAAATGAACTGTCAATCAATGCAGTGACTGTGACCCACACAGAAGTCACAACCAATATGCCCTACAGCTCCCTAGTCATACCTGAGGTTTAGTTTCCTCTTCATCCTTATAATAAAAGAGCTGGTCCCCACGCAGCACAAACCACCGCTGTTGCCAGTTCTTCATAATGCTCCTTTGTTTCTTCAGCCAGCCACACTTCAGCACACGTTCTTGAGGGTTTGGAGAAGAAGGTCTGGAAGAAGGCCTAATCTGTTCACCCATCACCAAACTCTTTGACCGGGCTGAAAAAGCAATTACAGAATACATGAAAAATAAATAAGAACACACAGAGGTTAAATAGCAGTTCCGTATCTTCTTCTCAGACATAGACAATTACACACATGCTCCTCCTTCAATCAGGTACTTATTTTTCAGGGTGTACACTCAAGTTCATAATAGTCAAACACAAGACAAGTACTGCTTACTCCGGCAACCTTCTAAGTCACATGATGGCTCCACCAAAGCTCCACTGCTCATATTACATTTCTTTGTGGCAAGTCATTACTGCCTTCTAGTTCTACATGGGAATAATCACATTGCTGTGTCCTAAAGGGATATTTATGCAGTGAGGATGTGTAAGTGTGGTGAAGGGGGACAGAAAAGAAGGAAGAAGAGAGTGGAAGAAAATAGTCTCACTTCACACACTACCACTAGTTGGGTGATCAGCCAGTGAAACCAGCTGCCACAGAAAAAAAAAAAAAAAAAAAAAAAAAGATTCAAAACTGAGAAAAAAATCAAAAAGGAAATAAAGGGAATAGTCACATACAGATAACAACTGTCCAGAATTATTAAAGTCACTTCACTCCTCAGGGCTTTCTGACATTGAAGCAGAAAACCAAAATGGAAATAAAATAGACAACATGGAGGAAAAAAAACAATACATAAATCTCAATAAAGGCTTCATAAGAAAAGAAGTCTATTGCCTTTTCCTTCTTCTCCTTCCACATAACTGCAGAAAGAGCACTGAAGCTTGGGGCATTCAAAGCTAGTCTGGAGTAGCTGATAACATATATACTGCTGGCAGCAAGCCAGTCCTCTAGAATGGATCAATTAGATGACCTTACAGGTCTTTTCCACCTCTACTTCCTTTGGATTTATGAAGTGTGTTATAAGTTATTTAATCTCATGCCATTTTCCTTCATTAGTGCTAACATGATCCTGTTCCTTCCCATTTTCTACATTCAGCTAATTTACGGCACAATTTATAAATCATCCACTTGAAACAGGGCTACAGTTTACAGTCCAGTACCAGTAAATCTACAGTGTTAATGTAAGACATCAGTGATATAAACTGCTGCAGCTAAAAAACAGGTAATCTTCTTATTCAGGTATGCCTGATACACTGCAGCTAATTCAGCCTGCCATAATCTCTGCCTCTCTCAAAGTACTGTCTAGTTTTGCCTCTTTTGGGTTCAGACAATTAAAACATGTGGCCTTGATGTTACCACCTGACTCTGGTTTCTGCCCCTGGTGACTCACCACACAGTGATGGAACTGACAACATGGACCAAAGAAAGAAAAATAAAGTGGAGGTGGTGGTTGGGGAATAAAAAAGTAATAATAATAATTAAAAAGTCACAATATCAACATTAAACTTGATCTTATCTTCTCTTCCATGAAGCAAACTACAATAGAAAGGCAGATGAGGGACTGAGGTCAAGTCTCTGGAGAGCCTCCTCAGTGTAATCCAGTGAGGGGAAATTACATTGGTATCTGTGATAAAATCTACTTCGACCTTCCCCGTGATCTGGCAGTCAGGCCATCATGTTCTGCTTCATAGAGAAATATAAACCTAGCACTTTTACACACTAAACGCTTCTGTCAGCAGAGGGCAGATCCGAGTGGTACCACATCATCAATTACCAAAAAGTCTCAGTGATAGCAATCACTTCTATAGTATCACATATTCCCCTCCCCCCAAACCCTGGCTTAAAAATATCGGCTCACCACTCCTGTAACCATCCAGTAAGCACTCAATCTGGCCTCTGACAATTTACCAGTTTTACAGGCAGAAGACAGCATCACTTTGTTAGTCTTAAATTTCAGACTCAGTGAAAGCCCTGTCTGAAGGGAAGAAGGAATTTATTTATTTTTTTTCCATTTCTCTGAACTGCTAAGGTAAACTTTGCTACTCTCAACAAAACTGTGAATAACAGGTTTTGCCTTGTGCCTCAAGCAAAAGAAATTAGGTTTCAACTTATAATTATTTCCTGCTGCAAGAAATTAAGTTTCACTGTAAAATTAAATTAAAAAGTTGAAATTGTATAAAAAGTGCTGATACAGTATCATAGCTTTTTCAGAATTATACTTCTCTTATTTCTGGATTAAATACCTTGCTGATTTTAACCTGAGCTCATATACACGATTAGTCCTACATTAATGAAGTTTACCAGCAAACTTCATATTTGCTTAAATAACCGAGCTCTCCTCAATTCTGATTATTTTTACATAGCCAAAACAACAAAAAAAAAAATCTTAATATAGAACTCACTTAAAACCAGTCTTTGATGTATCCAGTCTTATTCCCTAAGTTTATTCACTGTAGTCTGAGTCTCACAAACAGGCATTTTCATTCCAGCAATATATATTAAGAACCACTTTTCACCATGAAGCTAAAATCCTATGCCTTAATATATCCTTTCCTCCCAACATAGTACCCTCTAGCAGATGATTCAAAAAAAATACCAAAACAACTTTGTCTCCTTCCCCTGTGCCTCCCTCCATCACTAACAAGAAATGGAGGATCCCTATTTCATACACATGTAGTAAGAAAATAGACTTTTCACATTTAAATCTCTATTTCAGAGGCCTGTAAGGATTTAGTTGACAAAAATCACCTCTGCCTCATCCCAGGCCACATTTTACAACAAGGATCAAACTGTAATCTGGTTTAGACTGTCCACATTCATGTTACAACGTCTGTTATTACAAGAACAAATATGTCAATAATTTTTGCTTTTGCAAATGGAACTATAATGTTTCTTCGGCAATATCTTGGATATTAACTTAACCAATTAGTCTAATAATACCAAAACCCATACTTCAGTAAGCACCTCAGTCATGTCCACACTGAGCACCTCAGCACTCTCCCATTTTAAGCATGCAACTCCCAGCAGTTTCCAGTTTTCTTCATATTATATAAATGCCCTCCTACCTCACTCCTCCTCCTAAAAAGAAATTAGATCTATTTAACTGGGAACGTACTATCTTTATTTTAGCATTTATATTGACACAGACTTCACAAAAGACATCAAACATCTAACTTTGGAACCCAAAGTATATTATCTCACATTTCCCCTATCATATCCTTTGGTTTGTACAGCTCTACCTTGTAATTATTTATTACAGTGAAGAGTTAAGGCTTTTGTGATTGGTCACTAGAGAATGTGTATCTTCATATTTTATTTTAAGCAGCACCATGTCTTAGTACATTGCTATGGTTGTTATTTCTTCATGCTGTCTTAGCTTTCCATTTCCTTAGAGTTTCCAGTCATGACTGTAATAGTTAATTTCATTAGGGAGATACTCAGCAACCTCATCTGTAAGTCAGCAACATGGATCAGATAAATAATTCCTTCTTCTAAAAATTTCTATGGCTATTAACAACATTGATGTTTATTTTGCATGCTTCACAGAATACAGTAATTGCATAGAGGTCAGAAGAAAACTTTCACAGATGAGCACAGCCTGCCTCTGAAGCAGCAGGTATCTCTGTCACTGGGCTCAAAATATCTGCTTTAATAATCTGATCTAGTACATCAAGCCCCTCATTCTTAATGGCAGATATATATTCTTAATGCTCATCTATTTAACAGAATTACAGAATCAGCAGAGCATAAGGAAGAAAACAAATCAATAAATCAGACTCAAAACAACTCAGCAAATACTCTACATGCTCTAGAGTTCTGATCCAGTAATGCCTTTTCAATAACACCACACAGTTTGATTTTGCTCTTCACATTTTCATTAATTGATTATTGATTCAGCCACACAGATAAGTTCTAAACATAAATCAGTGTAGACAGGATCCAAGCTTTCCTTAGAAAAAGGTTTAGGAATCATTTGCACAGTGCAGCAGTACTGAAATGCCAACTACAGGTCATACCCACTGAGAAGTAGGAAAACAAGGCAATTACAGCACAGCAAGATTACAACACACCAGACAGACCCATATCCTTGCTGCTCCATAGGTGGCACTAACAATGAGATAAGCCTGGTTTTTGGAACCATAAATCATTAGAAGGTAAGAATCAGAATCGCAGACCTTAGAAATATTCCCGTGACTGAAAGTGACACTGGCATACGGAAGTTCTCATACCTAGATGAAGATGAGTGGAAGAATATGAGCAAAAACAATGGGGTGACAATCAACATCCATTGTCCAAATGCCTGGGCTAGACTAAATAAGCTCCCCATCCAAAACCCCACACTTGATTTTTGTGTAAACTCAGATTATCCTAGGAAGTGGACAAACTAAATTGTATGGGGGCATGCTGTCGTTTCTTACAGAGATAGCAACCCCTATCCCAATCCCAACTCAGCCTTGTCTAAAGCTACTCTTTCTCAAGTTCTCTTCCTTGCCCCATCAACAGAGCACTGTACGCTTCTACCAGAGTTCCTCTGCAACTTGGATGTGCCTCCAAGCAATATAACACATTCCTGTTCTCTCAAGGTATCTATTTTCTACCCTAAGCATGCACATAATACATACAACTTCTCTTCCCTATCCATACCATTCCCACTTCCTGAGCTCAATCCTGCCTAGCAACATTATACAATCTCTTCTGCTCTCCTCCCACTCACAACTCTGAACACTACTACATATTTGAGCAATCAATAAGTACCTACTTAAATCAGGGATGTGGAAATCAATCAAGTCAATGCAATTCAATATCAATTAAAGTTGTAATCTTTTGAAATTTCATAGGCAGTTAGCTTAAATCAATATAGTCATTATAATTGACTCTGGCTGACAAACTGTCCTACAATGAAGGTACTTTGCTCTAGTGTTTCTTCAATTTAATGACACAGTGACACTACATATTGTTTCTGATACAGCCTTTTTTAAGTACTATACACAAAGAGAAGTGCTTTCACACTATAAGCAATATTCTCAGTTGTTTTATTTAATTCAAACTTTGCCTCAAAAATGGATGCACTGAAAACACGAGAGTCATATGACTTGGAGATACTGCATTTCCTTTCACCAAATTGTAGGAAATAAAATACTTGCCTTGGATTT